GAGACGGAGTCTGCTCTGTCGCCCCGCTGGAGTGCAAGTGGCGGATCCTCAGCTCATGCAGGCTCCGCCTCCGGGGTTACGCCATTCTCCTGCCTCAGGCTCCCGAGTAGCTGGGGGACTACAAGGCGCCGCCACCTGCCGGGCTAGTTTTTTGTATTTTTTAGTAGAGACGGGGTTTCACCGTGTTAGCCAGGATGGTCTCCGATTCCTGACCTCGTGATCGCCAGTCTCGGGCTTCCCAAAGTGTTTGGGATGACAGGCGTGAGCCCACCGCGCCCGGCCCGTGTTGGATGTTTCTCCACACTTCGTTTGCTAGGAATTTTTATCATGAGTTTTGAATTTTATCATCAGTGATTTTCTGCACCAGTTGTGATGATGTATGTTTTTCTTTAGGCTTGCTGGGCATGGTGGGTGACATTGATTGCTGGTCGAGCTAGCCTGACGTATTTTACTGTTAACAGAACGCGTAGGTATTCCTCTGCATTTCCAAGTCAGACTTTTGCTGCACCAGCTTTTCTCTGCGTCTCCACCTGGCCATGTGTCTGCGGAACCTCGTTCATCCTGTGAACCCCACGGGCAGATGTGCCCGGATGCCACCAGCAGCCTGGCGAGTGGCATTGTGTTCAGCCCCTTTCTTAGGAGATGCCTGCAGGGCACTGTCTGGGCCAAGCACCTTTTCATGCCTGGTTGTGTTTTTTTTGGTTTGGGTTTGGGTTTTTTTCACACAGGGTCTCGCTCTGTCACCCAGGTTGGAGTGCAGTGGTGCGTGTGCCACCTCGACTGGCTAATTTTTTAATATTTTTGTAAAGATGAGGTTTCCCTACATTGCCCGAGTCTCAAACTCGTGGGCCCAAATGACCCCCCTGCCTTGGCCTCCTAAGTAGCTGGGACCGCAGGGATGAGCCACCGTGCCTGGCCCTTTTGGTGTAATTTGGGAGCTGGTTGCTGGGTGGGGTGCACCTCGTGCTGCAGGGTCGGCGGGGGGGTGGCTGCGTCCCCTTCTGCTGGCCGTCCCCTTCTGCTGGCCGTCCTCTTCTGCGTTCCCAGCAGCGGGGCGTGACACCCCTGACCTTTCTAACCTTCCTCTTCCCTGCATGTTTCTCTCTGCTGGTCACTTCCGTGTGTTTATTTCCACACTCGCAAGCCTGGGAGGATATCTGCTGAGTCACCCTCCATCTGCTGTCCCTGCCTTATGGCCATGATTCTTTTTAGCTGTGCAATTGTACCTTTAACACACACGCCTACATTTCCTTGTTTTCATCATGTTTAGTTTGTATCTTGGTGCCTTCTGTGTAAAAGGAGCATTTTCCTTGCTCCTCTTCCCTTCGTCTTCACAGAGCTGTGTGTGTCTCCTTGGTAGGCTCCAGGCTCCCTGTTGCACTCTGCAGTGGGTGCCCTGCAGCATGTGTCAGGCATGACTAGGCCTGCCCGACGTGGCAGGAAGCCTCAAGCTGCCCCCTCATCATGCTCGTGCCCCTGAGGGTCCCAGTAGGGCCTAGCAGGGCGACGGGGCCCTCCTTCCTCTAGGAGGCCAGGACCCCTGAGAACAGGTCCTGCAGCAAAAGGTCAGTGACACCTCTGAGGCCTTGCAAGGACATAGTGTGGCCTTTATGTCTGTCACCTTCTGAAACACTGCTTCAGCTGAAATGCAGCACAATACCCAAACGACCGCACAGTAAAAATGTACAACTCAGCAGACGACAAAGCAAATGCCTCTGCAGCCTTCACTTAGAACCCCTGTTTCACCCTCACTTCCAATTCCATCCACCAAGCAGCCATTTTCCATGCTTCGATGATGTCTTGTCTACTAAGTATGAATCCCTAAGTACTGTAGTTGCTATGTTCAGAAATTTATGTAAATATATCATGTATTTTGTCCCCAACATTATTTGTGTGTGTGTGTGTGTGTGTGTGTGTGAAAGAGAGAGAGAGAGGAGAGGGATGGGGAGAGGGATAGGGGAGAGGGGAGAGGGTCTGGCTCCGATGCCCAGGCTAGAGTACAGTGGCATGATCTTGGCTCACAGCAGCCTCGACCTCCTGGGCTCAAGTGATCCTCCTGCCTCCGCCTTCCTGGTAGCTGAGACTACCAGCGTGCACCACAGCACCCAGCTAATTTTTAAATTTTTCGTAGAGACAGGGTTCTTCAACATTATTTGTGAGATTGACTTACGTTGTGATGTTTTCGCTTCCTCTGCTGTGTAGTGTTCCATCCTCGCATCGTAGTGACACGCTGCAAACCCCACTGCTGTGAAGCATTTTGCATGTGTCTCTCGTGTGTGTGCGCCTGCCTTTCCTTTGGACGTGTGTGTCCAGAATGGCATTGCTGGGCTATAGGGCACACTTGTGTTCATTGTGAGTAGAGATTTCCAGATGCGTGAGTTGGCCCTGATGAGAATGGACCAGTTTGCTTTGCTCCACCTCTTCACCAGTACTTGAGTGTATGAGTCAGGGTTCTCTAGAGGGACAGCACTAATAGGATAGATGTATACATGGAGGGGAGTTTATTGGGAGTATTGACTCACCGATCACGAGGTGAAGTCCCACAATAGGCCGTCTGCAAGCTGGGGAGCCTGGAAGCTAGTCTGAGTCCCAAAACCTCAAAAGTAGGGAAGCAACAGCCACAGCCTTCAGTCTGTGGCTGAAGGCCTGAGAGCCCCTGGGAAACCACTGGTGTAGGCCCCAGAGCCCGAAAGCTGAAGCACCTGGAGTCTGATGTTTGAGGGCAGGAAGTATCCAGCATGGGAGAAAGATGGAGGCCGGAAGACTCAGCCAATCCGGTCCTTCCATGTTCCTCTGCCTGCTTTACTCTAGCCGTGCTGGCAGCTGATGAGATGGTGCCCCCCCAGATGGAGGGGAGGGTCGGCCTCTCCCCGTCCACTGACTCAAACGTGAATCTCCTTTGGCAGCTCCCTCAAGACGCTCCCAGGAACAGTACTTCACATCCTTTAGTCCAGTCAAGTTGACACTCAGTAGTAACCCTTACACTTACGTTGGTTTTAGTTTGCGTTTTCTTGATGACTTAAAGCTGAGAACTTTGCGCCCACTTGCTGCCCTCCTGGCTTTTTCTCTCTTCTGTGAGGCACCACGTCGCCCCACCTCCTGTGTCCACGCTCCTGTCGGGTGGTCCGTGTTTGTGGAGCAAGGGGCTCTGTTACGTTCCACAGCCTAGTGACCAAGCATGTGTGTGAGGGGCCAAAGCAGAGGCCAGAGATGCTGAACGCCCTCTCGGTGCTTCTGCCCACCCTGTGATAACAGAAAATGTAAGTGGAAAACGGGGCTGCAGTAGAGAGCCTGTGTGCCTTGGAGCACAGAGGGTGGGGAGCACTTTGGGAGGCCGAGGTGGGCAGATCATGAGGTCAAGAGACGGAGACCATCCTGGCCAACATGGTGAAACCCGTCTCTACCAAAAATATAAAAATTAGCCGGGCACACTGGGGATTTGGTTTGAACCTGTGAGTTTTGGGGTTTGGGGGGGCTGACACAAACATTCAGAACATAGCAAAGAGATTCTACCCCTTGGTTTGTGGTACCCGCCTGGCCTTGGCCAGTGTGGCTTATGGGGTGAGAGGGAGGACACCCATGTTAGGAGCCCTTTCCCCAAAGTGATAGCTGGAACCCCACAGTTGATGTGGCCCTGAGGAGGAGAAGCAGGAGGAGGAGGAGAGAGAGTTGGTGTGGCCCTGAGGAGGAAGGAGAGAGTTGGACTCTCGGGGAGGGCTCTTCAGAACGTGCAGGGCTGTGTGGAGGCTGGACAGAGAGAGACGCTGATGTAGACTGTCAGGCGGTGCCTGGGAGGGCCTCTGTCCCTTGGCTC